TGTGTGTGTGTGTGTGTGTGTGTGTGTGTGTGTGTGAGTGTGAGAGAGAGGGAGAGAGAGAGAGAGTGTGTATGCGCGCATCCGCCTGCTGCGCGCGATTCTGCGTGAGCATGCATGCGTCTGTGTCTGGGTGATTGAGGCTGAGGGGAGGGGGAGGAGGAGGAGGAGGAGGAGGGGGGTGGGTTGGGGGGTTGAGAAACAGCGGGTGATAACTAATTAAAGACAGACTCCTTCAACCCCCTTTTCTGCCATCTCAATGTCAAGAGAGGAGGCAGGACGGAGAAGGACATGTGAAATCAGTAGCTGCAGCTTGACATTCTGACTGGTCAAAAAGGTGGTTTAAGCCATGTTTAAAAGCTTTGTGAGACACATCCAGCTGTGTGAATGTTTGAATCAAATGTTAAGAAATCTAGCATTGAGGGGGGGGAGCAAGTCTTTTTTTCTATTTTATTTTTGTAACAGCAGCACCTCTGAAGATGTGCACAGAGCAGGAAATGCAGCCTCTGACATCATACTTGAATGCCGGAGTGCTTTGACATTTTATCTTTGCCTGAAGTAGATATTTGTCATGATACCTCTCACAGACGTGTTTATGACGGCCCATGCCATGCTCCACCCGCCCACCAGATATCCCCGGACTTTTTTCCTGTTGCCAGATCCACCTACTCACCTCTTTACCATTCCCAACCTACCTGCACACCTGGACTCTGGTTGAAAGGTTTCTAACTGAGTGAAATGACCCAGAAGTATCAAAGTGGCAGCCATGATAAGAGCTGATTCTCTAAATGCTAAGGAAAGGTGCTTCCTTTCTTCTCTCTTTTAGCATAGGATACACTGGACCATCCTTTGCTGTCCCACAATTCCTTGCGGCAGCAACATTTAAAGCGACTAAGCATTCCATACCAACGACATTCACCGCTACATAATTATGTAGCCTTGTGTGAGTGCAGCCAGATCCTCTTAGCACTGTTGTCTTTTCCTAAGTCCTTATGAATTCTCCTTCACATCCCTCCTTGACCTCATGAGGTTTTCCATCAAGGTCAAGTATAAGTGGTTAGGAAAGGAATTTTTATTTTTTTTTTGTACTTTTTCGACCACACCTCTCATTATCTTCCCCTGTATTCATACCAGCCCTTTTTCGCAGTCAGTTGCCATATTGTTTGCTAACGTCTCAATGTGTTTCACTTTCTTCTGTTTACTCTCGTTCCTGTTACCCTGCATGCTATTTGTATTTAGTTACCTGTTGTTTGTTGACTGCTTGCCTGTCCACTCGTCTGCTTGTTAGCCTGGTCTCCATCAGTTATTCTGCACCAGCCTGCCTGCATGTCTCCCTGCCCGTGCTCCTACCACCAGCCGTAAGAGCGTGTGTACTGAATTTACTTCCACTTTAGTCCTGATTAAAATTCCACAGAATACACGTTCATGTGTCATACCAAATTCAGATTCATCCTCAAAAACATTTAGGCTATGTCCACCTGCAGTGTGAACACTTCTGTTTGCTTGTTTGTTGGTATCTCCACCCCCTCTTGTGTGTGCAGGTTTATTTACCATATCATAGGCGTTGAGCACTTTGCGCAGCAGCTCCGGCACAGGACCCTGAGCCTCCATGGTGGGGTAGGTCTCACTCAGGTCCACTGTTACTCTCAGTGACCGCTCGCTGTTCATCAGCCAGGTAGACACTGTCAGGATACATTGCTTCATGTTGGCAGCGGGGGTCAGGCCGCACAGCTCCTTGAAGGACACCATGGCATTCTGGGAAGAAAACAGCCACAATGAAGGAAAGCAATTTGGTAATGAACACATAAAAAATTTAAATAAAAGCAATTTGTAAATAAATACACTTAAATATTCTGTAAGTGTTGCCCTTTGTCCTTGTGCTCTGAACTCTGTTAGCTATCACTCCATTATGTCTCTGTTTCAATGAAACCAACCAAAGCAACTATCAACTTCCGACCTAACCAACTAAGGAAAATTCCTGTATAGTTATTGTATTTGGCAAATGAAGTGATTGTGGTCCTAATGGAATGGCAGCTACTGCAACCACATTTTGCAGAGGACCTTGAGTGAAGAGATTTAATGAGAGGGATTGTGATACTCCCCTCAGACCAGACACAAGATAAGATTGCAGCTTAGCAGTGTTTGTCTTGGTGACTGTAAAATTGTTAAAAAAAAAAAAAAATCAGTTTCCCATAACATCAGTCTGTTCATTCAACAGCCGAGAGACTCGGGAGACAAACTTCTGACCACATCCGGGAGGTGCTAAGTACAGTCAGTCTCTCATCATTCTCTTCATAACCGTCTCCTTTTCTCACTTTCTCCTTAAAGGGTCCAACGTTATATAAAGAGAGACTTCCATGTCTTTTTTGATTATAAAGCAGGTCTAGGTTCTATATTAATACTGTGAAAGTATCAAAACACTCAGTCCACAGAGAAATGCACACAGCCTGTATTCAGACACCTTAAAACGAGCCGTCAGGACTCCTGGAACTTTGTGATGTTACAACAAAGCAGTCACCGCCATCAGTCATGCCCCAAGCTCCGCCCACCCGGACCCACCATTGAACCTTGAAGGATTTGGTTTCTCTGAGTGTTTACCTGAAATCTATAATTTTATTCAATCACTCAGAAACAGCATTCAGCCAATCAGAAGAGAGGATCATAGTCTCTCTTCTGATTGGCTCGCTCATGGTTATTAGGCCTGAGAGAGCAGATGTAAAACTACACTGAGATGGTTTTTGGTACTTAAAACCACAAATATATCTTCTCATGGATCAACACTTCAAATAAAAAGGAAAAGTGTAGCAAAGGAAAAGTGTAAAATATGGGACCTTTAATGCTTTTCTACCCCACTCTCTGCATTTACCGTTCTGTGTTGCTGCAAATAACCACCTTTAAAAAACTGTCAAATATTACGTAAATTCATATCATTCTTCTGCTTATGTTCCTGTTTCTTCATGGACCACTGAAAACTTTCACCCTCTGCTACTGGATAAATAAGAAAATCTTTATCTCAACAGGTCCTGTTTATTTAATCTTGTACTGACAACAAATCTTATTGCTCATCGTGGCCCAGCTGCAGCTCAGTTAGTAGACAAAAGTCTGCCCATCAATCACAAGGTTAGTGATTCAAACCTTGAGCTTCTCCTCTCAAAATGTTGAATTGTCCCTGAGCCATACACTGAACCTCACTGAAACTGCTCTCATTGTATATGAGTATGTACCACTTAAGACAAAAACATCTGCCAAATCAATGTAATGTCACCAAAGACATCTGGTCAATCTGCCAGCATTGTGATTCCACTTGTTTCCAGTCAAATTTGTAAGAAGAATTAATTTGTTATTTTTTTAAACACTAGTGTTATTTATGTCTTATGCTTTGTGCTTACTCAAAAGGAAAAGACCGAAACAGAGAATGTAGCTTTTAATGTACAGTCCAGTCAGATTTCTGCATAGCTGTCATCACTGCTATTTAACAAGCCTGAAGTGGTTAACTATATCAGGTAGTTTATTTTTCCAAAATTTGATTATTTCTTCCAACTTCATCTGCCCACAAACTCCTCACAAACCCTTCCTGGCATAACCATTTGACCCACACACCTAAACACCATGTTCAACAGCAGTTTTTCAGCCTAAACTCAATTTAATTTGGAGGATGCTGCCAGCTTCACTTTCTCCCTCCTTCAGTCACTCTTCACCTTTCCTGGGACAGCCTGCCTACCAGGCCAACAAAGCCAGAGTTTCTGCACGTCTGAGTTTAAAGTCTCTGCAGCACCAGCAACAAGGCAACTGTCTCTCTCTCCCTCTCTCTCTCTCTCTCTCAGCGTTTCATTCTCCTGCCAGCATGGGGATTTCAGCAACCAAACCAAGCCCACTGTTTTTCTCACAGCACCCCATCAGTTAGAGATTGGTTAAGTGACGGCACGAAAAGCGAACATGACGACAGAGAAAAGGGCAGTGAAAGAGAAACAGTGCAAAAAAGCAATCTGGGCTGAGGCTTGAAAAGCCAGGACTGCAAAGATGTACTGTAAGAAGGTTGAGGGTGATCATGGGAAGCAGTGAGAAAAAGTAAGTAATAAGAGGTGAAGAAAAAACTGGGGACAGAACAGCAGTGGGGAAAGAAAAAAAAAAAAAAAAACTATTTAGAGAGAACAAGCCAGTGTTGGTATTTGGGAATCAGTCCACACACTCTGCAGTGTGGGAACCAGCTGTCTCACTGGGCTAGACCTCTAGCTCTGCAGAAAAATTCACCACACCTCCCTCCACCCGAGAGGATGTGCTGTCACTGCGGGGCCCGACCTTCTCGAAGACCGGGAGGGTGGCCAGGGGACACAGTCGGCATCTGTATGCAGAGCCTCGGCCACAGTTAACACCTCGTGGGCCATTGAGCACAGCCACAGAGAAACACAATGGTGGAAGCAGGACAGCTCTGGGGCTCGGGATAAAAACCCCGGTGTGTGATTATGTGCGTGTGTGAACTAGGAGCATGTATGGGTTTATGTCTCAGCGCGGTGTGAGCTGAAGCTATTAGCATTCATTATGCTTTGTATAATTCCACGCATGTGTGTATGGGACCACATACGTAAACGTTTCTCGATAATTGTAGTGCAATAAAAGCCATACTGTTTCCAAGCTTTAGTGTTACAAAACCCAATGAGAAGCTTGTGTTTTTAATTACTCCCCTCCCCCACTTTATTCCCCCTTCCAACATTCCCAAATGAGAGCTCTGTGTCCGGTTACAACACGGCTTTTGTCCTCCCCCCCTTTCTGCCTCTATCTGTGTATCTCTCTCCAGCCTACAGCACTGAGTGGTGGTGAATGGGCCTGTGATGAAACACACACATTTCAGCAAATAAAACAGAAACTCCAGGCTGGCAGCTCTCCTCCAGCTCCATCAGCACTTTATAAGGTTCATGGGCAGCAGCACTGTGGAAAGGACTTCATTCAAGTCTCCCGCAGAAATAATTGATTTGCTGCCTAGATCCACATGCAAAAACTTGGCAACCTATCATGTCTGCCCATTGGTCAATGTTCATGGATTTCCTCAATCTTTTTAATAGTCAAACACACTTCTCTTTCTGTTATTATTCAAAGCAGGCCACCTGGAAGCTTTGCTGTTTGAGGATAAAAGGAATCTTAAAAGAGCTTGGTGAGGTGAAATAACGCTTTTGACGGCGACATCTAAAGTGTGTGTGTGTGTGTGTGTATGTGTGTGTGTGTGTGTGTGTGTGTGTGTGTGTGTGTGTGTGTGTGTGTGTATGTGTGTCTGCACACTCTGCTTTCATGGCTGAGGCTCCATGCCACGATATGTGGGAATTTAGTAAGTAAGAGTACAAAAGATGTTCCTCTCTCACGTTAATGTCTAATCTTAGCTTCAAGTGAGGGCTGGCAAAGCTTACAGAAATGGCCTGGTTGCTGCCTTGTGGGCTGTTGGCCACAGGGCCTGTTGCTGCCCTGCAGATCCCCGGCCCCAGGCTCCACACAACTGGCCTCTACAAAGCTTTTCACAGCTCTCCATTTTTTTTTCTTTTACATTTAAAAGGCAATGGCCTTATTCCACCTTTATTTATCCTTTTTAAAGCCTTCCTCTCAACTTCTTCTCTTTCATTTATTTCATCAACTTTTATCTCGTCATTTCAAAAGGAAAAATTTACATTTCAAACCTGAGGTTGGTGTGGTGTGGCACCACTGTCGTTTGATCAGGTTAAAAACACTGATTCACATTCAGTCGTCTGTCCACCTACTGACATTTTTTCATGTAGGCCTATAGATTGGATTCCAAAGCCATTTGTTATGAAATATGTTTCAAAGCCACAGAACAGATTAGAGCGACAGCTGTGACACATGGCTTGTCTCTGATTATTTCCACATTTAGCAAGAGTTGGTTGACTTGACTTTTACAAAAGTTGGGATGTGTTTGATTAGTCCGTGTCTGATTCACTGACTTCACAGCCATATTTCATGTCTTATTCATGAAATCTTCCCATGCTGACTCACGCTCGTGCAAAGACTGAGACCTAAAATCAAACTGTTATGGTGTCCATCTATCACAAATTCAGATTATTCCAACAAGCAATCCTTTGCACACTTATTACGCCAGAAGATAGCATATCATAATCTTTTGAGGAAACACTGTCAGGATTGTTCATCCGTTGCTTGTATTCACACTTTCATCTTCAGTGGTTTCTCCTGAAATTGCCTTCGTCTCATCCCATTCAGACAGTGATTTGATAATGTTACTACCTCTAAAATTACAGGATCAATTTCACCTCCAGAACACAAACATATTTCTCTCTGTATTGAGGTCTTGGAGAGGAAAATTACATCCGCCTTCAGAACATGCGTCTTTCCACAACTGAAAAATGCATGACAGCATGCCACAGGATCTCTAATCACGTCCCTGCTTATTTAGTTTGGTCTGCTCTTTTTGTTTGTGGAGCCATTAGACTGAAGTTACTACTTACTGAAGACAGACGGGCAGACCTTGGCATTTATGACCTGGATGCATAAAAGGGAGAGTGTTACATGTACAGTAGCTTAGTCTGTTAAATTTTATGTTTTCTTATATAAGACATTAACATTTTTTTCTCTCTTTTTTTTTTTACTTAGTACAATTATATAATTATAACTTTTAACACTAAGAAGAGCATTATTGATGCGTTAAGTCAATTAAGTCCATTGAGTGAAAGGCAAGATTATTTTTATCATGAAAACTGTCAGACAAAACAAGAGTAGGCCTGCCACTCTAAACTGACAACCAAACAACACAACACTTGGCATGTAAAAGGCTCACTGGCTCTCCCCGTGTTGTGAGCAAATGAGACTAGCTTTGTATCGCACCCTTCAGTCATCACAAACAAAATACTAAACTGCACTGAAGGGCTTCTGCTACTGGTCATTAGTCGAATATATGCCATGGTTACTAATCTTCATTTGCTCATCCAGGAGTTTTAAAGTAGTGCACAAAGTGCCTAGCAACCCAGCCATCTCCCCTGAGCAGTAATTGTCCCTAATTAATGATTACACTATTCATAAACCTTATAATTGTACAGCTATGTCACTTTATTACCATTCTCCTCTACAACATTAATAGAGCACAATTAGCGACAAGCTTCTATCCACAACAGCAAGTGCAATGAGTGCAATCAGAAACACTTGAATCAGTTTGGACCCACTGAAGCAATAAAACACCATGCAGTTTTATATTTGGCAGAAAAGGCATCTCTGCTATTTCACATCTTAATTCGAAAACAAAAACACAGATGAAAGTTTGTTCTTTTTTTTTCTTAAAGTGAACGGGAGTGACATGCAACTTTCTGAAAGCATCTACTCTATTTCTAGAGACTTGGAAATGTTGGATTTGGATGTGTACGATAAGATGTTATCCTGTTAAAAAAAATACCGTTACATGTTTTTTAAGAACAGATCAGCACTATTGTAGTCAGCAGAGGCGACCATTAACTCTGCTCTGCAAAGAAAAACAGATGTCTAATGCATTTAACCTAAGCTATTTTCAGACTGAGCACTCAATCTAAGTCTAAAAAGTAAGTGTGGCTCTAAAAAACCGAGATGACAGATTGAAGTACCTGGACCAATTCACCAAAACTGAGGGCCACCAAATTTTTAGGCCACAAACACTGAAAGACTGATCTATGGCATGATTCACTTGTTCTGCATGATCAACATCATGAACACTCCACCACTACGTATAAAGGCACAAATGTAGGTAAAACAAGTCACTCTACAACAGCTTAACAGAGCAGATCAGTTATCCCAACACAAAGCCGATCATCACATAGCAGTTTAAGGGAATCAAAAGGAAAGAGGTTCAAACAAAACTTCCTCCTCTACACATCCCAGTGTGACACACAAAATATCAGTAAAGATTGTGTCTATGTTTCATAAATACTATTAAGTGTAGTTCCTTACCTGCACATTTTCTCTGAGGTCTGTGGCCTCCCTGAGGGGCTGGGTGGATGCTCTGAAGAGCTCGTCCACTACTTTGATCCCTGTGGTCTTGGTGGTGGTGTACTCCCGGGCCTTCCTACCCTTCCTGACAGAAAGACCCCTCTTATGTGCCTTTCCTCCACCCCGCCTGTTGGTGATGGCTACATGGACAAACAGAGTGGTATTGGGTAAGAACTCTCCTGTAAGAGACTGCAGAGGGACATGTCTATAGCCTGGCTGTAGGCACTCAAATGGGATGGTGTACTGGCCAATGAACTCGTCTCCAATGTAGTCGTCATCCAGCACCACAAAGCGCAGTACAGCAAGTTCTGGCAAATTGATCTGGAATTCAAAACTCTCATCAAAAATAGGGTTGTCACCATTCTGGGACACTGTCTTGGTTCTTTGCTCAGCACAGTCAGCAGGGATGCCATGGATCTCCACATATATGTAGGGTTCCACCACGTCACCCTTAGCAGCAGAACCGCGAGGCTTGGGCAGATTCTGCCCACTGATGACCTTAATATGAAGAAGCTGGGCAGACACCCCTGGTAGGGAGTCCCGAGCATTGGCACTGAAGTAGGACACCTCCTCTCTCATGATGGCCGGCCGCAAAACATACCCGCAGTTTCCATTCTGCCTGAACCAGCCAAGGTTCAGGTCCATCATCAAGCCTGGGGTCTGGTAGTTCATGGCCACAATCTGGCAGCCACACTTCCAGAAATCCTGGGGGTTCATGTTGCTGGCATCAATTCTCATAGGAGTGGGATATACCCTGGAGAGAAAGCGCTTGTTATAACAGACAAATTCCTCTGGGAACTCGTTGGCAAACCTGTTTGCATCTACCTCGTTGAAGGAGCAGATCTCCCAATATTTTTGATCCCTCTTAGAGATCTCAAAGTCCCTGAACTGGACTGACTTGCAGAGAGACACAAGATCAGACAGCTCCCTGCACAGTCTGATTCTCTTGCAGCCCAAGCCATTTAGCTGGTCCTTCTCATCAGCTCCCACTCTCCTGGACATTTCCAGACCCTCCTCCTCATCTGTCACGTCCCCCTCAGCATCAGTGCAGTTGGGTGGTAGCCTCTTACCTTTAAGAAGGATTTTGCCTTTGAGTTTCTCTGGGGAGGGTAGATAGTTTTCCTCCTTGTTGGGGGATTCAATGTACAGCTTGTCACCAAGAATCTTCTTCATGTGCTGTGCCATGACCCTCTGCTGGGGGATGCAGCAGTGGGTCACCAAGCAAAGAATCAAGGGATACTCTGAGCTCTCAAAAGCATATTGGTTTATAATGTCCAGGACTTTAGAGAAAGCTAGCTGTGAGGCTACAGAACTACCTACATACACCACTGGTTCATTATCAGGGCCATCCCATACAATGACCTCAATGCTGCGACAGCCCATTCTTAGAGCTCGGATGTAGCTGCTGATGTCTGATGAACCCCAGAAATGGTCTTCCAGAAGGGAGGCATTATGTGAGGAGTTGATATAGTAGTGGGACAGAGGCTGGGTCATATCCTGGCACACACGTTTGTGCTGGGGGTCAAAGATGTGGCATTCGGAGGAGAGGAGGTAGTGTGTAAAGCCATCGATAGAGAGGTAGCTCCTCTCTCTCCCTTCAGCGGATGGCTCAAATTTCTGAACAATATCCCTGCACATGTCCTCCGTTACACCTTCCACACCTTGCTCCACGTCTACAAATAGCATCAGATCTTTACTGTCCAGATACTCCTTATTACTGGAGAACTGCACCAGTAGGAAGAAAATCTCTGGCCGTGTGCAGAGCTCACAGTAGGCCTCCACAAAGGTGTCCATGTTAATTGCCTCTCCGTATTGGTCTTTAGCTTTCTGGAGTTCCTTGAACTTCAGCTCTATTCTAGACTCTTTCATTCCTGGGTTGAGCCCCTTGATTATCTGGGTGGCCCTGAACAGGTCTATGTGTCCTTCCTTTTCCATATCTGCTAGCTCAAACACTGAGCCAATCCATGATGTTCGTACACTCGGTTGGCTGGGCTCCACCATGTCCACGGGGTGCCGGCCATAAGACACCAGATACCTTAGCCCCATCACCCAGGTGCTGACAACATCTGCTGTACTGGCTACTAAGTCTAAAGACTCATAGTTATCCCCATAGATGATTGAGAAGGCGCATTCATCAGGGAACTGATCTGAAAGACCATTGCTGCGCAGAACAGGAGTTTTCTTTCCCAAACGGACCTCCTTAATACTCTTGATCTCCAATTTGGCCTTCTCTGAATCCTTCTTAGATGGCTCCCAGCGGAGCCAGTGCATGTCTGGATCCAGCAGGAAGTATCGGTTGTACATGCGAGAGTTGGAGCGCACCTTCTTCATCTCACAACCCTCCATCATGAAGGCCATGCAGGCAGCTGTGCTGTTGATCTTGCGGTCACTTGGCATTGAGCTGAAGGACACCGTTTTCTTCCTCACCTGCCTCTGTTTGGAACCATCCTGGGAACAAAATAGGATGGGGGAGGGTGGGAGTAGAGAAAGATTGCTTAGTTAAATATTTTATCTGAATTCTGAATTCAGGAAATAGCAGTGAATACTACAGCTAGATTATAATGCATAAAAGAGGAGAAAGGAGATAAAAGGCAGATACAGTACATTCATATTGAATCATAAAAAAAAAAACCTAAACCAAGCAGTTATGCTGCTAGAAGGGAATTACAATTCACTATATTCAGGTTTAAACCAAAAAATAAAAAATAAAATAAAATAAACAGCTAGTAGAAACAGCTAATACAGCTAGTGCAAAAAGGAGCTGCTCGGCTTTCAACAAATTCAAAGAGACAAGATAATATAACTCCTATTTTAGCCACTCTTCACTGGTTACCTGCTAAACCATGAAATGCTTTAGCTCCCAGTTATACTGTATTGCTGAACTGCTGCTCCCCTACAAGACAAAGTGCAGCCTCAGATCTTCAGGCAGGGGCCTTCTGGATGATCCCAAGCCCCTGTTCAAAGGTAAAGGTGACCAGGCTTTGGTGCTCAGGGCCACTGAGCCCTGGAGCTCCCTGTCTGAGGATCTGAGGCTTACAGAGTCAGCAACATGTTTTAAATTACTTCTTAGAACTTAACTTTTTTTTTTTTTTTTTTTTTTCTTTATTCTTAAAAAAGCCTTTTATTAATGTCAATCCAAAGTTTTATTTTTCCTGATCCATTATGTTTTATTTGTTTATTTCCCTGTGTTTATCTCACTTTATCGGATTTTGGGGTATTTTATTCACCCTACTTTTATTATATGGATCTTTTAATTATGGTGTAGCTTTGCTTTTATTTTGTTTTGCCTCTGTTAAGCACTTTGTAACAGTGTTTTGACACTGTTTCTATATTAATGGGCTGCCGTTATCAACGTCGTTCTTCTCTCTCCAGCAGTTTTCTCACCATCTTTATGCAGATGGGATACAGAGGTGGATGGGAACCCTGTGGGGCCTTCTTTGACATTTCACTAAATTATTAACAATTAAATAAATTAAAATGGCTAAAACAATCAGTATTTTTGATAATATATTTATGATAGGCCAATAGCCTTAGAGATACAGTAACTGCATGCTTATTTAAAATGCACATCTCTTTGTCAAATTTTTCTGCTCATATTTCAAATTGCATAACTTCATGTGACTTCTGAGCTTTTCCCTTGGGACAAATTGTTGTATAGTGCACGAGTTCTGTTTCTTTTTAAAAAAGAACTACTTCCTGTAATGACAGGGTAAAAAGCTTGGCTGAAGTTACAATGGTTTCATTTCTCAAACAAAGTTAAGAACTTTAAAATGTGTTTCATTTTACCTTTTAACTGCAAATGAGATTTGGTGGTTAAATATTCATCCTGTGGGCAACCTCATGTGGGCAACATACATTTCTTGTCAGCCAATTCCAAAGTCATTGCAATATTTGTTAAAGCTCTGAGGGGACTGTCTATCTACAACAACCCATGCAGAAGCCAAACTTGTAAGAGTAGCAAAAACAGATGCCCCAAACACCACCTGCCAGGACATGGCTGAACTTTTGCAGCTTTTAGGTCTGCGGGCCTAGCTGGCAGAAAGCAGACAGACAGCGCTGCCCTATTTCCACACAGGGCTGTGGTTAGCTAGATAGCATGAATGCAGATGGCCTGGTTTAGGGCTTGGAAAATGGGCTTGTTGAATAATGCATACCACAGAGAGCAGTACATTAAAATCAAACCTAAACCGATCCACAAATTACTGTTACACAAAAAGGATTCTAGCCTTTGAGACCGCCATTGTCGAAACTCGGACAGACGAGGAATTCTCTTACAAAAGAATTTTGTGAAACCTTCTATTACCCCAGTGACATGTCAATGGTGATGTCTGATTACTTGCAACACCCCCAGTATTAAACAAATGTAACAAAAGCCGGCTAATCTCCCTTTTCTCTCTTGTTCTATGTCTCCTGATCTTTTTTTTTAGTTTGAAGAAAGAATGCAAAAAGGCGCAGAGAGTCCCAGGGCTATAGAAGTACGAGTATGTCCTCCCTCTCCCCAAGACAGTGACTGCCTGTAGAGGTCTGATGGATCTCCCCAGAGCATGGCTCAACACTAGCCACAGTGAAACACCTCTGGGCCATCCATCTTCCACCTGACACTGGAAGAGGCAGATGACGCCTGGCACCTCATCACGATTAATGAGCACCACTTGACGCAAAGCTGAAGAAATGACACGATCATCGCTCTCTGGTTTTGCCCTTGTTTTACGACCTCTATCTCTTCTCCCTATGCATAACTACTCAGTGTCATAATTTCCACATCTGTAATTCGTCAGAGATTGGGGGCGGGGTCTTATCTAAATAGAGATACAGATAATTTTTTAATGTGGATCAAAATACCTTGTGGAAATTTTAGTCAGTGCCTTCACTGACATCACACCAGATGGTGCGCTGCGGCCCAGTGATGCTGGGACCACCTAGGTCAAAAGGTTTGCTAACTAGGTGTTAAAGTAGAGTTATTCAACCATTTATTTTCCTCCCACTTGAGAAATACTTGCATGCAATTGTTGTGAGAGCTATTGCCAAGACCCACAGGCACATGGTAATGCATGTAACCTCGCCAAGACTGTGAGGGTAAGGAGGGTGCTGTTGGTTCAGCTGCAGGATAATACAATTCCAAGTCTTTCGCAGAGGTAACCTAGGAGTGAAAACAACTTGTCAACCACTTCACGTAAGAGGTAGACGGATCGCAGTATTGATATCTTCGTTTCCCTTTGTCCTGCTCTCATTTCCTCCCAAAGATCATCTGCCCTCCAAACATCTCAGTGCTTGTAGTGGGGGATAAATCTCTGGAGGCCGTAATCAAAAGATCACATTTCAGCCCAAATGTCGCGCCCTTTAATGTCACCAGCCCGCTCCTCTCTCTCAGCATGTAACAGAAAACTACAGTTAACAACTCTATTTAAAAAAAAAAAAACACAGACCAAAGAGACATGTTTTTTTCTTCTGAAGCCGTTTGCAAAATCAACCAGATGGATATGTACACTGACCGGGGTACTGGGAATATGTAAGGGAGGCTCTGTGAGATGGAAAGCAGACTGAGCAAGTGGCAAGGGCTGGGGTGGGGCCGTGAGGGTCGGTTCAGGTCTGATTGTTTACAGACCTTCTTTAGGGTAGAAGAAGCCACAGAGGGTCAAAGGTTGTAGGGGGGGTAATCTCGTGTCTCATTAACATGCTGTTTCAATTAGGCGGACAGCCTGGCAGGATATCATGCAGTTAGACTGTGCCTCTCAGTCAAAACCAAGCAGGCAAACTGTGGGTTTGCTCAGGCTCATTTCACACACTATTGAAATTTAAATGCAAAATCATAAGACTGGTGACCTCGAGGTACAGGATTTATTACTCGGCTGGCCAGTGATATTTGTGCTGCATAAATAACAAATAGAAAAACCCCATTATGAATCATAATTTCATTAAAATTGAAATGTCCTTTAAACAATCAATTTTTATTTATTTATTTTTTTTTATAATTATTGCCTCTGTATTTCCCTACATGCAGCTGTCATTTTTCCCTCATTCGTCCACGCCTTGCTTGCACTCTCTCACTATTTTTTCTCAGCCCCTGGGGTCTTTCCTGGTAGAGATGTCAGTATTTCTGTTTATGTGTGTGTGTGTGTGTGTGTGTGTGTGTGTGTCTGCTCGAGTGCTTCTGGCTTGACTGCCTGTTGCTGCTGTTGCCGCGGTGATATGAGGATATTTTGGTAAAACCCCCCCCCCCCTTCCTGTGGTGGTGCTGGCCGCTCCGGGCTGGGTCAAACACTCCCTGATGGAAGGGTGAAGCTGCTGGGGACGGGGCCACACTGTGAGACATCCTCTGAAGGGCAGCGGTATGGCACACACTCTCCCCTGTCACTGTATGTCACACCCTGACTCTAGGGAGGCAATTAATGGGAACATGAGCTCTCAGGTTGCCTGTAACACTGCACTGGCCCACTGAGTGAAGTGCGGCAAAACAATAACGCTTCAAAATGGCATTATAGGGCTCAATGGACGAACTACTTTTATAGACTTCCTATCTTTATATGTTTCTTTAATCATGATATTTCCAGTTTAATACAAGTTATATAACTCTAAAAGCTATATACAGTACATACATACATACATACATCTGTATGGCTTTCCTGCACTCCTCCAGTCTGCTGTGCGTCCTGGAATACAGCACCATCAGAAACTCTGTAGAGTGTCTATGTTTGTTTGTGTGTGTGTGTGTGTGTGTGTGTGTGTGTGTGTGTGTGTGTGTGCGTGTGTGTGTGTGTGTGTGTGAGACACAAGCACCCCGACAAAAACTCCCAAGGGCTTCCTCAGTTGCCTGATCCCTTGTTATGCCAGGAAGCACAAGCAAAACTAAGGAGTCCTCTTGCTCGACTACTTCAACACACACTGACAAATACAGAACAACAACGTGTCTCAGCCACAGGGCTGTTAAATGTTAGTATGACCACAGTGCTGAGCTGCCCGGCCTGATTTTGAACACATGGAGGATGAATCTCTCCCCTGAAGCTCTTCCTGTGGGACTTTGGACATACTGCCTCTTTCACTACCGTGGCCCACTTCCTTCAAACCTCCAACCATCCCACCTCCTCGTCACGGCTGTGCTGGCTGCCTGCCACTTGCTACTCCTTGCTCCTATCATATCTCGACTCTAAAACGGGTCTGCATAAAAAGTAGTCAGGCATGGCTCAGTTGCTCTCGCCCACAGTCAGAGCTACTGTGTCATTTGTGTGTGTGTGTGTGTGCGTGTGTGTGCGCGCGCGCGTGCGTGCAACGTGCATCAGTGAATAAGGCAACAGGGGATCGTGGGTAATGGGGAGTGAAGATAGAACAGAGCAGAGCAGGGACCTCTTGATGACGTGCTCTCCAAAAATGTGAGTCACGGTATGTGTGTTGTGTTTGCCCGCATGTGTGCTGGAGGATCACAGGATCAGCGTCTGCACACATACAGAACA